TAAAAGTTAGAAAAACAATATGAATAAAAGTTTGACTTCAAATAAAGTTTCTATTACAAAAAAAGATATGATTTTTTTTAGTTAGAATCTCCCTCATATACTTCAATGTCCTTGATAGATGTCATTTTATGCATCTTTTATGGTAGTTTTATTATCATTTAACATCATATTTTGTACATTTGCATGTCATTTGTTTAAATAATGTTCAGCTCACGTATTTTATCAGAATTCCCGTACCGATAGCATTTTTGTGTTGTTTTCAGATAGTTTGAGTAAAGCAGTACTTTGGGAGCAGCTGGATGAATATTTAGAGCCTAAATGGAGTTGGAACTGAAGGAGGATGTTGAGGAATCCAATGGGTCAGCCTTGGTGCTTTCGACCCATAAGTACAGCGAGGATAACTCACCTCTCAGCCTGAAAAAGATCGTTAAACAGGACACAACTCCGAATATCAGCTCAAACGGTAACCTATTCATCAAATAATGACCAATCTTAATTACCACTCAAAATACCTAAAATACCCTTAGGTCAAACTTGGTCAAAACAGGTCAAAGCCAAAAAGTCAAACTTTGTCAACACAGCTAAACGCCTAGTGTTCATGGGGAACGCCCAACGTTCACGAATAAGTCTTTTCCTTTCCATTAAGAGCTTAATCCTTAAGCTCTTTTGTCCATAATCCAGATCCAACCCTAAAATAACGTCCTTAACCATAAAGTTTCCAACTTTATGGTCTTGCATGGCCATTAAGTGCCCAAACACAAAAACCCTAACTACTTAACCCATTAAGACCTTGTAGCTCATGCATGGAAGGAAACTAACAACCAAGATTACATTTTTATGCTTCTAGATGCTCCAAACCGTCTGAAGGGACAACTTATATGGATTAGAGTAATCCATGCTCATAATACCAAGCTTATGGGACCAAAAGAACACCGTTTTATAACTAAATAAGATCTAAACAACTCTTAATCAAGTTCAGAGCTTTTTACCTCCAAATGATGCCAAAAGATGTTGTTATTCTAGATCCAAAGAGTCTCACTCCACCAAGATGATCTTCTCTTCTTCCTTTCTCCTTCAAGGTTACCAAAACACACACAAAAACTCAATAATGCTCTAAAAGTAGATTAGGGTTTGCTTGGGGATGAAGGTGGGTTGGAGGCCGATGAAAGAAGGTAGGGTTGGGACTTAAGGATGTTTAAATAGGGTCTAAACCCTAAAAATTAGGGTTTGCAGTCTGGCCACATATTCCCAGCGTTCTTAGGGAACGCCCAACATTCATGCCTAGCTCCCAAAAATTATGAAAGTGCCATTTGGGTCCAACTTAACAATTAATTCACATCCAAGGTCTAAAATGAAATAAATTCTCATACTTAGGGTTTAAATGAAAATACCTCAATATCGAGATGTTATACTGAGGGTATTTTGGTATTTTTCAAGTAGTAGGGACTGAGTTTGTAACTATGGATAAACCATAGGGACCATTTATGTAATTTTGTCTATATTTTATGTTTATGAGTTTGTGGCTTTTCCACCTTTTACTTTTTAGAATATCACTTTGAACCCTTCACTTTAAACTTTGTAAAATATTATTTTCACCCCTCTATTTTCTAAATTTCTGTGTTTAACCCCATATTATATATAATTTGATTTTCATTAATAACTTCTGTTTGTTAACCGAAAAAAAACTATTTTTACGTGTTTATTTTTATATATTTGTCGGTATAATTGAAGGTGATCAACGTTTCGACTTTAATTTATAACTTTCTTTCGTTCATTTATTTAAAAAAAATTACATGGTTTTTTTATATACTTGTTAGTTTAAATTCGAGTTTGTCTACATTTCGACGTAGTTTTTTTTACGTTTTTGTGTTTAGTTTTATGTACGTTTCCTACGTATGAGACATGTCACATATAATAAGTTTCGTTTGTTAATTTTGAAAAAACATATTATATTCGAATTTGTCTACGTTCTGACGTAACTTTTTTTTTATGCTTAATTTTATGTACAATCCTACATATCATTCCGGTCACATACAATAACTTTCGTTCATTAACTTAAAAAAATATATTATCTTCGAGCTTATCTAAGTTTCGATGTATTTTTTTAACGTTTTCATGCTTAATTTTATGTGCGTTTCATATGTATGACTCGAGTCACATATAATACGTTTTTGAATATTTGAGCTTTCGTTCGTTAACTTAAAAAAAATCTTACTTATATATTGTTATGTATGTGCCGATATAATTTTTTTTATGTTTCGATATAATTTTTTTTGGACGTTTTGGTGCTTATTTTGTGTATGTTCATACATATAGGTTTGTTCATATATAATATATTTTCATTTGGCAGTATAAATTTGAGTTAGTCGGTGGTATCGGCCTTTATATTTATCTACCAACAAATGCAATGTTACATAACTTTTATCAATACAATCATCAAAATTATACTTTTGTCAATACAATAGATAAAAGCGTAATTATAAGCATTTGATTTTTTAAGTTGAATTTTGATGATAGTATTGATAAAAGTTACGTTTCGACGTAAAAAAAACATGGACGAAAAAAACACGTACATAAAAATAAGCATGAAAACATATAAAAAAAATTACGTCGAAATGTAGACAAACTCGAACTATACTGATATTTAAAAAAGCTTAAAAAAATTACGTCGAAACTGTAACACCCAACCAAATCAGGTAATTTTCCTTTTTGACTCAAAATGTAAAATTGTTGCAAAAATGGTCCCTACGCTGGACGTACTTGGGGCGTACGATGGGCGTAGGTCATTAAAAGACATCGTGCATGTCTTGAGTACGAATGATGTATATAGAGAGTACGCAGGGCGTACTCGGGTGAAATGCATAACCTAAACTCGGGATTTTGAGCCTTATTTCAACACCTTAACCCTCATAAATCCTTTCTAAATTCAGCCTCCATCCTCCCAAACGGCCCCTTACAAACCGTAGTATTCATTTGAGAGTTTTTGAGCTATTTGAGTGTTTTGTGTTCATCCTTGAAGGAAGAAGATCATTAGAGTGCACTTGGAAAGCTTCAAGCATTGTATACCTGGGATTTGCACCTCTCAAGCAACCTCCAAAAGGTATAAAGTTCCGAACTTGATGAATGCTTCACTATATCTTGTTAGTTCTTAAGTTTTGTGCATTTTGGTCTCACAATCTTGGTCTAGTTGAGTATAAGCTACTCTAGACCTTATGAGTAGCCTTTTCATACGTTTTGAAGTGCATGGAGTCATAAATATGTGATCTTGATCATTTCCTTTCATCCATGCATGAGTATTAGGGCTTTAAATCTTGTGTTATGTTAGGGTTTTTAGATTTGGACACTTTCTAGTCATGCAAAGTCATAAAGTTGGAAACTTTATGATTTAAGAGGTTATTTGGGGTTAGATCTGAGACTTGGATGTAAGGACTTAAAGGAATAAGCATTTAAAGATGATTTTGGGAGCTGACCGAGTACGCAGCGTGTACCATGGGAGTACGCATGGTGTACTGATTTGGAACCCCATATTTTGGGAAGGGCACTCTCTATGCCATGCGTAGAGATGGAGTACGCAGGGCGTACTCAACATGTGTTGACTTTTTGACTTTGACTTTGACTTTGACCATGGACTTGACCAAGTTTGACTTAACAACATTTTGGGTAATTTGAATAGTAGTTTGAGATTAGGTCCCTGTTTATTGTATATGTGACCTGTAGAGACAATATTTTGAGCAATGATTAGTCCAGCTATCTTTCAGACTGTGATGTGAGTTTTCCTCACTATACTTGAGGGTCGAAGACATCAATGTCGGTCCACTAGATTATGTATCCTAGTATATAGGATGTTGCTATATTGTAGTGATCTGGTAGATCTGCATGATTATTTGTTTGTTGTTATATGGTTTATCTGTTGCATATGTCGACATAGTGCAGTTTTGGGTTGAGGCTTTACTGCTATGTGCGTAAGACAACAAACCGGGTCATTCTATTTTGATGACTGATTGGGCCGAGGCATTCCAGTCCGATAACTGATTGAGGTAAGGTATTCCAGTCCGATGATTGATTGGACTAGTTGCATGTTGGTATACCATGACTGATTGGACCGAAACATGTTTTATTTGTCTTAATGCGTATGGTATTTTGGGGGAACTTACTAAGCTTGGGCTTACAGTTTGATATTATGGTTTCAGGTACTCCAGAGGATAGAGGTCAGGGGCAAGGCGAAGGCTCGATCGTGCACATCATCCTAGACTTTTATATGATTTATGATTTTAGGATACTCTGATATATGATCGTGACTTTTGGAAACCTTATTTTTGTAAAACTTATGGATTTGAAAAATAAAAATTTTGCCTTGATTTTGGATGTTACAGAAACGTAGACAAACTCGAAAATAATCCAATTTCTTAAGTTAATGAACAAAAGTTATTATATGTGACCCGACTAATATGTAAGAAATGTTTAAGCAAGAAAACGTAAAAATAAATACGTTGAAACATAGACAAACTCGAATATAATGCATTTTTTTGAATTAATGAGAAAAAGTTACTATATCTTACATTACTCATACGCAAGAAACATACATAAAATTAAGCACGAAAACATAAAAAAAAAATTACGTTGAAACATAAGCAAACTTGAATTTATCGACACGTGCATAAAAAAACAACTTTCTTTTAAAAAAATTAACGAAATAAAGTTCTACATTCACGTTAAAATATTGACCACCTTAAATTTGTACCGATACATATATAAAAAGAAACACATAAAAATTTAGTTTTTATTGATTAACGAACAAAAATTATCAAAGAAAATCAAATTATATAAAATTCGGTGGATAAATATAAAAATTTAGAAAAATAAAAGGTTAAAAGTAATATTTTTTAAAATTCAAAATGAAAGGTTAATCACTCTTTAAAAAGTAAACATAAGTGAATGCTCTACAATTTAATTACCATCTTGAGTTCTTGACCCAATTAAGTCAAAATTGGAATATTGGTGTCATATCTTACAAAGAGATTGGAAGATCAGGATAGGGGGAGAGAGAATCAATGAACCTGCCCGTTGGCGTTGCGATTGCGCGGGAGATTCCACTAGATTTCCGGCGAGAAACTGGTGGAGCAATAGCAGTCGCTACTAAGAGAGTCAGTGAGGACGGCGACGGCTGTGGGGTACGACGCCGTCGTGCTTCACTAAGAATGGTGGACAGGCAGCTAGCCAAGGGCAACTTCAAATTGGCCCTTTCTTTAGTAAAACAGTTGCAGCGACTACCTCCTCCTGCTGGTCTCCGAGGCTTTGCTGCTGCCAGACAGGTCCTTATATCTGATTCTTCACGCAATCACTTGTTTCACAAATTACTCTTTTCTTTTCCCTGAATATTACATCGTTCAAGCTAATAATTTGACAGAAATAGATATAATTCATCAATAAAACAATTAATCTCCGTGTAATTATATAGAATTCCATAAAGGATTTAACCCTAGGCATACAGTGGAGATCGTTGATTAGATGATAGTTGAGACAAGATTTCAATTCAATCGGAATGCACCATATGTTTCATGAATTGTAAGATTTGAGTTGTGAATAGTTAAGGAACATATTTTTGATTCGTGTGTTAACTTTGCAATTTCTAACCCTAAAGCCGTTAAAAACATCTGTTTTAATCTGTTGTCCACATTGATTGCCAGAATGACTACATATGTTAAAGCTAGATGACTTACAGGTACCCCGAAGAGTGTTGTCAGTAGAGGAATTGGATCTCAGTGTGACAGAAAAATCTGCTCTTCAATCATTACATGATTCCATCCTTGATTCAATCAAGATTAGCCTTCAATCATCACCATTGGATGAGGTACTTTTATTTTCTTGGCATTGTTGTTGAATTAATTTGGTTTCATTGGTTTGTCTTTCAATTCCCTAATTACATTGGCAAATATGCAAAGAATGTAAGGGGCGTTTAGTTTGTTGGATTCCTTAGGAATAAGCCAGGATTGGAATGTAGTTCAATTCCATTCCGGCATTGGGCTGGAAATGACTAAGGAGTTTAAGTCCATCTAAATTCACAAAATCCTACAACTCATGGAATTTAATTCCAATCCTCATATGTATAAATGGCTGAAATACCCTTTCTAAACCCCCATTTTTAACATTGTAGACTTGTAGTATGTTGATTTCATCATTTTATCATTGCCTTTTGTAATTTGTTGTTTAATATTTGTTTCGTAATTTGTTGTCATGTTTCGATAAATTTATCATGCATAAATAATATTTTAGATAGAAATAGTTCTAAAATTTTCATGAACAAGAAATTATTAAAAGGGTAATTTAAATATTTTTCACAACCATTTAAATAACTTCGTGGGCAAAAAACTTAATAGAATGGCCATTTACTGACCTTTACAAACATTTAAATACATTTTATGCACAAGAAATCAATAAAAGGCACTTATGCTATTTTCATTATTTGCATTCCAAAATCCAAATCCTTTGACAGCTTCACAAACCAAACAAAAATATACAATGGAACGGAATTGTATTCCATTCCATTTCCAGCCAACCAAACACATGACAGATTTCATTTTCTTCATATTCTAATATCTTCAAATTCCAATTCCATTAATAGATTATCAGTTGATTCAATTATCTCATCTGCTTATTTCTCTTTTATTTCCATTTATTTATTGGTCCAAGAGCAATATATTATATGTAATATTAACTTCTTTTCTTATAAGTATCTTTGTTGGGATTGCAGATTTCTGCAACTTGTAAGGACAATGATTTAAACCTTGAAGATGATATAATCCAACACAAGTAAAATATCTTTCTTCTACAATATACGTGTCTATGGAATATAATAAGAAAAAGAAAATAAAAATTAATCAAAACAAAGTTCAATTTCATTAAAATATCTGTCTCCTAATGATATGTTTTGAAAGTTGAAGACAAGTAGTGCAGCATGAAGCAGGTCATTTTTTAATTGGCTATATGCTTGGTGTTTTACCAAAAACATACAAATTTTCAATCATGGAAGATGTGAAGCAAGATGAAGTTGTTGATGCGAGTGTCAAGTTTGTTGGCTTTGAGTTTTTGAGAGAGGTAACTGCAGTAATCTATTTATAGTTTCTTGTCATTAATTCCAACATTCTTCTTCTTCTTCTTCTTCTTCTTTTTTTAATAATAAAATCTATTTTTTTATTATGAAGTTAGAAGATGAACAACCATCAAAGAAAACGTTGCATGATGTGAAGCCAAGTCATCGGGTGAGACTACTTTTTTCTATGTACTGCTCCAGCCCCATCATAGTGGGCCTCATTTACTACAGAGGATATGACAGAACATGTTGTACTGTGTTTGACTGTGACTGTGGGACAAAAGTTGCAATTTTTTGTCCCATCCAAAAAGGTGGGACAGAGACTTGCTCTTAACCTCTCTCTGTGCAACAAACATAAATGCCCTTCGATTCAGTGTTGTCCCTTGTTAGTAACAACTGTAGCCTAAAGTTAGATACAAAGCTCTAACATGCCATGTTTCATAATTCATGCAGGCCAATAAACGCAAGTTGTCTTCCACGGTGAGTTATTTTTATATCGTGATGTTCTTTTTGTTGTGAAATAGTTCCCTTTACATTTTTGGCAAAACATAGGGTGCGTTTGGTTGTTGAAAACTGTTTTCATTTTCTAAGAGCATTGGGTGTGGGCAACAAGATGCAACATCAAGTTGTGCCACCTCACATGCCACATAAGCAAATGGTGTTACAACACCAAGTGGGGAAATGGACAACAAGATGCAACACCAACTTTTTTGAAAATAAATATGTTTTATTTTTGATTTTTTTTTCGAATTTGGTTTTTTTCTTTTCCTTTTTTTTTGTTTTTTTCGTTGCTAGTCTTTTTTTTTTTTTTTTTTTCCTTTTTATGTTTTTTTAATCACTAAAATTAATATATTTTTATAAAACATAAAATTTTAAAAACAAAAAAGTCATAATATTTAAATTCTAAAATTACGATTACAATTAAAAAAACATAATTTTAAACCTAACATCGTAACTAAAATACCATTCAACTTACTTCTAAAACAACACAACAATCCTAATTAACCCAAATATTCTTCCTAATTTGTTCCTTCATTGCTTGTAGCACCGCTAGATCCTCAGGCGCTAAACCATCCTCGCTCGTCCGAAGAATTGACAACTGATGTGTCATTAGTTCTCTCACTTTTTGCTCATGCTTCTCCCGTGCCTGCCTTTCTAGGAACTCCAAATGACGACGTTTCAAGTCATATTTTTCTTTTATTAATAAATTGTGCTCGTCGAATTTCGCTCTCATTTCCGCCGCCTCTTTTACTTTCGCCTCAACCTCCACCGCATGCCTTGCAGCGCACCTCGCTTTGTCGCGTCCGGGCGGTCGTCGTGGTGGGGTTATCTCCTCAATATCATCCGAGATCTCATCGGTGTCGGCGTTTAGGTCGATGTGAGTCCGTACGTCCGACACGTCAACCGAGCTCGAATTACGAGACCTTTTGGATTGAACCTCCGACGATGTAGGCGTTTTATTCTACCTTAAATTCGCTCGCAACAACTCCCATGATTTTTCAAAGTCGAAAACATGTCCCATTTCGACCCGATATTGTTCCTTAGCAGATTTGAACAAATCGAAGTCGTTGGTTCCGCTTTGCTGTTGCGCCTCAAGCCGGTTGTAAATACCATTGAATTTGCTGCACCGCTTAGTTATTTGACCCCATTTGCTGCTCAACATGTCATTGTTGCGATACAGATTTTTCTTTAAAATAGCGTGAAACTTGTCGAGCACCGCCCCCCAATAAGCTCCTTTTTTCATTCCATTTCCGCGGAGTTCGCCTTTTGAAGTTGCACACCAAGCCGCTGTCAAAGCATATTCCTCATCCGGTGTCCACCATTGTGGAACGTCTGCATTTTCTGTTTCAACCGCTATCGATTTCCCTTTCCCTTTCTCTCTCTTACTACGTCCCGCTTCCACTTGAACAGATGGTTGTGTTGAAGGCGATGGTTGGTTGGTTGTTTGTTGCATCGAAGCAAAAGTAGAGAAAAGATTTTGTTGTAAATTTTGGTTGACCAAATAAATTTTGTTGAAGGTAAGGTGAGTTGGGAAATTGCAGTGACGGTGAAGCGGGATTAAAAGAAGCGCCTTGGTATGAGATTTGTGGTGAGCCTTGAGACGATAAAAGGTTGAAATAATTTTCATAACCCGCGAATCCGGGAGGCGAGGTTGTGTTTGGGTTTGATGATGGAGGGGGGGTGTTTGGGTTTTGCTCCATTTTTTAAAAATTTTAAAGAAAATATGTGTATAAGATATAGAGAGAATGAGAGAAAGGTTTAAAAACATGGTTTAAAAGTAGTATTTATAAGGATAAAAGGTATTTTTTTTTTTTAGTTTTGACTGTTTGCAAACGGTCGAGTGAAGAAAACGTTCGAATTTTATACGTTGCAATCCGTCTTAACGCCCACGAGATTCGCCATAACGAGCTTCAACGAGTTGGGGGGGGGGGGGGGGTGTTCCCCGCGTCGTGACGCCGTTTCCCTCTTCCAACTCAGCTCCGTTGCTTCTCGTTCCGGCCCATACCACGTCGTCTAAGAAAATATTTTTAGAAAATAGACTTGAGTTTTCATTTTCAATTTTCAATGAAAATTTTAGAAAACATGTTTGATTGTAACCGTTGAAGTTTTCATTTTCCATCTTAGAAATTTGGAAAATTTTGGAAAACTGTAAAAATCACTTTTATAATTTACATACAATTTGGAAAACTGAAAATTTTCATTTTCTTAGAAAACTTTGGAAAACTGAACGAACCAAAAGGGTTTTCAAAATTTCCCTTTTTCTTGGAAAATTTTCCTAGAAAACTAGAAAATTTTCTATAACCATACGCATCCATAGTTTTCTTAACGGGGATGATGAGGGCATTCATGTCTTTTGTACATACAATAGATAGGTCTGACACTTTTTGACACGATCCGTGACACGACAAGAAATAAACGGGTTTGGGTTGAGTTTTTCAATCCGCCAACCCGTTTATTAAACAGGTCATATATGGGTTTCTCAAAAAATATACAGGTCGACCTGCCAACCCGTTTAGAATTTTAATAAAAAAAATTATATATTTTTTAAATGTATTAAGACTCGAGTATTATACAGTTTATACACTACGATAGGATGCCATTGACCATTTGACCTGTGCAATACGTTTGTATTAATGTTTTAGCTTGAACATGATTCTATGAATGTTTTTAATTTTTATTTGGATGTTTAGATTTAAGTGTCTAAAATTTGGATATGTTTACATCAAGAATTTATTCATATTTAATTATCAATTTTATTTATGGAATATGACCTACGAACCCACCAATCGATGAACCCGTATAAATAAATGGGTTGACGGGTCATATATAGGTTTATGTTCCTAACCCGCCAACCCATGACCTGTATAGCTAAATGGGTCGTGTTTGGGTTGGTGTACTTTGACCCGCCAACCCGCCACCTGCCAACCCGAACACGACACGATTGCCAGGCCTAACAATAGATCAGGAGCGGGTCTACATCCCACCTTGTTGTACTCTTTTAGGTGGGACAAAAAATTACACTTTTTGTCCCATTTACATCAGTCTCAGTCCAATACACACCAAATGATGTTCAAGGCCATGATGTTCTTACTTATTGAACAAACATGGCCTACTTTTCTTCTCTACTTGTATTGTGCTTTTTTAATTTCATCATGTGACTTATATTGATCGGTTTCTTTTTCCTTAGGTATTAAGCAAGTTCTTATGTGTGATTGTTGGAGGCTTAGTAGCAGAGCATCTTATATATGGATACTCGAAAGGACATCACGGTGACGTGGAGAAAGTATGTTCTTCATGTTTCATCTCATCTCATAAAAGAGCTTAGGGTGCATTTGGTTGTGGAAAATTGTTTTCATTTTCCAAGAAAATGTTTTCAGAAAATAGAGTTGGGTTTTTATTTTCGATTTTGAATAAAAATTTTAGAAAACGCATTTTGTTGGAAACGGTGGAGTTTTCATTTTCCATCTTAGAAATTTAGAAAATTTTGGAAAACTGTAAAAATTGTTTTTCTAATTTACATACAATTTGGAAAAATGAAAAATTTCATTTTCTTAGAAAATTTTGGAAAACTTAATAAACCAAACGCATTTTCAAAATTTCCGTTTTCCTTGGAAAATTTTCCAGGAAAACTGGAAAATTTTCCACAACCAAACGCACCCTTATATTTTCTATTTTTTCGGGATTAAACCTCATCTTTATTTTTTCCCCTGAAAAAGACCTTGTATTTTTTTTTTCATTTTTTCCGAAAAAACCCTAAACTTTGTCTTTTTGTTCCGAAAAGACCCTCAACCTTCTAACCGTTTCCCAATAAACCCTCAACTTTTTTAGTTTTTCTCGAAAAAGCCCTCAAATTTTTAAGTTTTTTTGGGAAAAAATGACTAAAGGGCCATATCGGAAAAAAATGCAAGGTTTTTTTCAAGAAAAAAAATAAAGTTAAGGTTTAATCCGGAAAAAACAAAAAATATAATCCTACAATTAAACAAAGTGGGAAAAAATGACAGGACTAGACAAACTTTCTAAGTCTATTTTCGATGATGAGGATGAGCAGTGCTTTTATGTCTTTTGAACAGATGAGAGCTCAAGCCTTGTGAGTCCCTCCCACGTTATTCCACCTTTTCAGGTGGGACAAAAAATTACTTACAAAAGATTGAGAGGGGCATTCATGTCTTTTTCACCCACGGGAGACTGAGAGCGTGTGTCTATCTTATCGACATTTTGACACTTTTTAGAAGGACAAGAAATTATAATTTTTGTCACATTGACATCAGTTAATGGAATAGGGATGACCGGCCCGGCCGAACCGGCCCCCGAACCAAACTTGGTGGAAAATAGGAACCGAACCGGACCGCCGGTTCTACCGGTTCCGGTTCTTGCCGTGTCTTCAATGTTGTAACCGCTCCTCGAGAAATAGCAATATACGGTTCCGGTTTTTGCCGGTTCTACTGGTTCCCGGTTTCAAAAATCCACAAGAATATCGTCCCGATCCCGGCCCGATCGGTTCTATTGGGTTCCGGTTCCGGCCCGATCGGCTCTATCGGGTTCCGGTTCCCCGGTTCAAATGCTCATCCCTAGACACCAAATTCAATTTTATAAACAAGAGATCGAGAAGGGCACTCACCTCTTTTGAATAGACGAGAGACCGAGGGCGAGTGTGTATCCCACCTTATTCGACATTTTTTAAGTAGGAAAAAAAATTAAAATTTTTGTATCATGGTCTGATTTCATTTATAATACAATAGTTGGGCATGGTGCTTAAATGGTTGCAATTCACTGAAGATGAAGCAGATGCTCTGATCAGATGGAGTGTACTGAACACGCTCGTGATATTGCATCATCATAGTGAAGCTAGATTAGCGTTAGTGGAGGCCATGACACGTGGAAGATCAATTGGAAATTGCATTGATGTGATAGAAACCACTCTAAACTATCAAGACGTCTAAACATCTCACATCTTCACCATCATCATGTTCAAGATTATTTGACCTAACCTCGACTGACAATTTTACACCATCTGGGAATCCTCAATTTGTTATTGTTAAAACCTTTGGTATAGGTATATTGTTCCGTATATAGCATTATAAATTTATCAATTGAAAATTTGTGTAATTCTATGAAATGTAGATTTATATTAATCATCATGGATTTACAAACGGAATACTTAAATGTTTATAAATTACAAAACCAAATCAAAACTAAAACTAAAACTCATTGAGCTAATATAGATAAAACCCCTAAATCAAAACCTCTCAATCACCTACAAGCTTTCCTCTAACCCATCTTCTCCTACTTTTGATTTTATTCTACATCAAGAATGCGTTTCTTGATTGCTTAGCGAAACCCATTCGATCACACATCTCTTCCCATTAATCAAACCCATCTTCTCCTAATCTCTTCTCTGTACTACATCTTAATTACTATGATCGTCACCAACAACTCCACTACTGCTGTACACGAATTTTTCAGGCCACGCTTTCTTTCCGGTTCCCCCAGGGTGTTGTTTGGTTTTATTTTTGGGTTTGGGTAGATTGGATCGGGTTAAGTGGGTTTTTGTTGTTGAATATTTAACCAATAATTGAACCGAAATTAATTTAGTTATTAAGGTTTCTGTGTCTGGTATTTTAAAAATTACCAGAAAATTGATGTTCTAACTAAAATTTAAAAAATTGTTATAAACCGGTGACAAGTTTTAAAGGAAAGTTTAAGGAAAGTTTAGACAAAACTGTAAAAATGGTCATTGTGGTATGTCGAAAATTGTCACTTTAGTTCAAAAAGTTTCGGACTAGCACCGACGGTCCAAAACTTTGATTCAACGGTCCGAAACATTGATTTTATTGCGAGTTTGGTCCATAAATTTTTTTTTTTAAAAAAAAATTCTTATGACAATTTTGCCCTTAATATTTTCATTTTCTAATTTTTATGCATTTTACAATTTCATTATTAAAAATAAATTAAAAAGAAAATATAAACCTAACACAATACCCAACCCCATTGATATTTCAATCTCTCCCTCTCCATTGTTGACGGAAAAAAGGAAAACCCGCTTGAGCAGACCATTTCGCCAGAGACCATTTTCGTCGGAGCATGTCTTCGCCAGAGACCGTCGTCATCCTTCCCAAACTGTTATAGACCACTGTCAATGTGGTTTAGGGTTTGAAAACCCTACCTTCATCTTTTCAGACCTTAATTTAAACAACTATCAATTTAGTAATTACTAAAACTAAGCAAGCAAAGAAAACAATTTTTAATTCAAATTTAAAGAGTACTCCTGTTTAGTTCTGAATTCCCCTCTCCTATGGTTGATTTCTAGTGGATAACTTATAGTGATTACCAGTTTATTAAGTTACTAGTTATCATGTTCCGATACCTAGTTTTGCCAATTTATGAATTATCATGCAATGATTAAGAACAAGTTAAACATAAAATTGATATAAGCATGAATTGGACTATGAATGAAAAATCTATGAATTACCTATCCTAGATCAAGACAAGCAAATCAAGCACAAATTAATAATTAATTATGTTCTCTAACAAAGTGAAAGTGCTAATTTTTATTCACCTAATTCTAGGATTTGTTCAATCACAAGATCTAATTATTTAATGTTCATAAACAACTATATAATAAATTCATGCAATTAGAATGATCATCTGCTACACAAAACTTGTATAATAAGCAATATAAGCTATAACTTCAACATGCCAGGATTGTGATTTGTCAAACACTAGTAAAATCAACATAAAATATCTATAAATTCGAAATCAACACATAGGTTACGAGTTTATCTTCACCAAACAGAAGTATAGGGTGATTAGCCAATGATCAAAGCAGAAACAAGCATAAAATCAAAGCTAACTAAACTAACTAAACTAAACATGGTTAAAAGCTAGCAAACCGAATGATTGAATGTTGTTGTTCTTCTAATTCTCTTCAATGCTTGAACATCAAATGAAATTTGAACTTCTATGGATTCTCCAGAGGGTTTTAGTCGCAACCCTAAGCTTAATTCTCAAGCCAACCTTCGAATTTTGGCCTAAAGCTCGATTTATATAGTTGCGAAAAATTAGTCACCACGCCGTGGGAATTAGACCTCCATGTTGTGGCCCTCACTTAAAACGCGTATGCCCCTAGTCCCGGAAGCTTCTGTGTCAGGAAAGGTGGCCACGTCGTGACATGCATTTTGCACAACTTCTTCTTTCTTCTCCTCTATTTGCAGATTCAGTCCTCCAAGTATTCGATTTTCTTCAATTTATGCTCATTTTCCTCGAGAATGTCCTTTTCGGCTGCAAAATAGAATTTAACATTATTAGTACCAAATATCTTTGCATTTCACCAAAATATAGCTTAAATGTATTAAAATAATGCTTAAATAAGAGTATAAATATGATAATATCAAAATACCCCACACTTGCCTTTTGCTTGGCCTCAAGCAAAACTGATTTTATTATCATACCATCACATCAAAACCTTAGCTACCAACATCATACAATACAATCGAAATTTAAATCATTCATAAAACTTCACCTCAATGCATATATTTGTCTCTAAAAGGTCCTAAGTACTTCCCCAATACTAAATACTTACAATCCTCATAAACGCTTCCCACTTATTTTGAACGACATTCATTTTTAGCTTTCCTACCACCGTTACCCTTTTATTTACCCCCTTTTGTTTCAAAAATTATTATCAAATTCCAAGCGACTCAACTTTAAACAAAAAAATACTATATAATATAATTATCTTAAAAATATAACTAAACCTTTATTGAAACTTTATATTTTTGTGGAGTTTTTTTTTTCTTTTTTTCACTTTTTTTTCTTTTTTCACAACTTTTTCTATTTTATTTATCTTTTATAAATACTTCAAACTTTCAACTTTTATAATAAAAAAGCAAACAAACAACTTTATACTTTAACTTTATTACTACAATGCTATAGTTCGTGACTTTTTAAGAGATTCATTGGAGTACTCAGAATCCCTTAGGTCACTAATGGGACCCCATCCCCGTCCCCGCCCCCGCCCCCGAAATGTTCAGCCTTCCTACCCCAGCCCCCGTCCCGAATCCCCTTTATTACCCCCGCCCCCGGTTAATTTTGGGCTGCCTTTTTTTGGGCTAAAAGAAGTTGTTATTTACGCTAAAAGAAAATATTTTTTAGGTAACAAATAACTATTTATAACAGAATTTTACATGTTAAAAATAAAGAAGTTATGACATCTTAAAAACATTATACTAACAACTTAAAAATATGTTTTTTTGATGAATTTTGGAAGCTCAAAATCATGTTATTGTTTATTATATTTATATAATTAATATATGTGTAATTTATTAACGGGGTCCACATGGGGGTTTCGGGATGGGATTGGCTACCCCTGCCCCCGAAATTAAAACGGGGGTTAACCTTGCCTCCACCCCCGTTCACGCCCCCGGTTTTTTAAAAAAAATTCCCCAAACGGGACGGGGCCCCTACGAGAACGGGGTCCCACGGGACTTTTTGACATACCTATTAACTTATCGAGTCTTAAAGGCCACAGATTGGTTCCATTTCTGAACTGTTACTTATTTAATATATTCAACTAGACTCAAGTTTGTGGAAAAGTAAACAGATAAACTTGAGAAATTGACTCACTTTATTTTAACAGAAAGGACCCACAAGATAAATAAGTCACCGGTAGAATTTTTATTAGGTCTATGTATTCATAAAGAAACACTTATTATGTCCCTCAAACTATACAAAGTTGCTTCTTTGTCTCATGATTTCACTAGGATAGGGAAGCCACAAATATACTATAACATTTTAGTACAGTTAAACTTTAGAGGTCACATTAAATCATCACACACAACACTAGCAACTTAAGTCCTAACACAACAATATAACATTTTTTTTTTAAATTTTCACTAGATTTCAGAATTAGACCTTTTTTTCAAGTCTATAAAAAATTTTAAAAATTTTCAATCGAGCAATTTTTGAATTTTTTCTTATGTTAATAAAAAATGATTGAAATCCTTTTTCGACCCCCTACCCTACACTTAGTTCATAAAATGCCTTCATTCTATACATAAAACAAGTAAAGCACATAAAAGAAAATAAAATGGAGAAAAATGAACAGAATCCCCTAGGGTAGTAGTGGCGAGATCGAAGCCGATTGTTAGTGGGAAAGCTTGAACATTTCGATAAATTTCTGGAACTGGACTCTTGCTGTTTCTCGTGATTGTGCTGACAAAATAAACCAAGAACTTTGCCTTCGAAAATGTGGTGCAAAAATCTTCAAAATAATGTACTGTAGTATGTCCACGATGTGGGAAAGCATACGCAACGTCGTGAGATCGAGTCTGAAATTTTTTTGATCGCGATAATAAGGAATGCCACGAAGTGGGGAAAGAATACGCAATGTTGTGGGATCTTGGATACTTTTCAGAAACAACTTCTTGCCCAAATGCAATTCTGGAAAATCTTCAATTCACCTCAATTATGCAATAGGCACTTTTTAATCTCATTTATTTCAACAAAACACTCTGTAAAAAACGACACACACCCCACACTTATTCAAAGATATGGTTCTCGACTATATTCTTCAACACTTACAACTCTATTTTTTTCGTTCAAAAACTAACCCTTCATTCTGCACAATAATAAAATAAAACAAACTTCTTACGTAATATAAGAAAACATCATCATCATTCGGTTACATATCCAAAATAAAACAAAAAAATATAACAAAACAAAACAAATAAATAGTCTAAAACATAACAAATCAAACCAAAACATAAAAATAAAAGGATAATCATTCCTCATCATCTTCCTGCGCTCCTCTTGTCCCATCTCCATCATTATGCCCCGACCACATTTCATTCAATAATGGACAATATGGGTATTGTTATCCACGGTCGGTGGTTGTGCAATATCGAAGTGTTGCACCATGTTCTCCATCGTCTCCCCAATCTAAGTCACACTTAAATGCATCCTATCTAGATAAGCTACCATCATGTCATCCCAAGATAGGCCTCTACACATGGATGAGTCTTGTGGGGGTGGTTGTGCCCTTATTTCCCTTCGTGCTCGCAAATTTCACCTTCCTTGCG